TCTCTCTCTCTCTCTCTCTCTCTCTCTCTCTCTCTCTCTCTCTCTCTCTCTCTTGTGTTAGCTCTTAGTCTCATTGATTTGGCTACCTTAGGGCTACGTTCCCCGCGCCCACGCGGTAGACAATTGTAGTATTTTGCTCATCTGCTGCCAGTGGAGTTGGACTCAGGTCTGTATTTCAACAGTTCGCGGTTGTACCAACTGAGCTTGACCCGTTGGTCAAGCTGTCTTTCCATTTCCGCAGCCAGTCAAATACAAAAGCCCTTTAACCAACGGGTCTAGCTCAGTTGGTACAACCATGAACTGTTGAATTAATGCCCAGAGTTCCAATTGAGATAATAACCAAATAAACAGAATAGAATTCTTACCTGGGCCTGGTCAGTTCAATTATGATATCTCAAGGTCATCAGCCCACACGGCAGGAGGTCAATCCTTGTCCTCTGGGGACGTAATCAATGCCTCATACCAGACTTTCTAGTACTATATCTGGGTACGATGCAGCATAATGGGGTACCGGACTCGCTGCCCGGTGTGTATCCCTCATAAAGCTTGTATTATACAGGGATGCTGGACCCGCAGGTGCAGCTCCCCACCAATAGATGGAGCCTTCAAACAAAGGGATGGGGGCTGCTCCTATTACTGAAAGTGAAGTTAAAAAAAAAAAAAGAAAAAAAAAGAAGGAATCCGAAGTTCCCGTTCGACAAGGCTCGTCCGATTCCGCTTCCACCAGGGTTGGGCAACCTATCAGCCCTGGTGCCTATCACTGTTGTTCGGTCCAACTTACCTGCCCATTGGTATGTGACGCTCAACCTCACGCCCTGCGCTGCTTCCCGGTCGGAGCGTTTTGGGCTTGCGGAAGGGGCCACGGGGAAGACAGCAAAGATGGGGTGTGCCAAGGATTTTTGGAAAATTGAGTGTGGGGACACAGACAGAACTGAAATCCCCCCCTGTTGATCTGACGGTAGCAAGAAGAAGGTCCATCGTCGCGTAGGCTTTGAGGGAAAAAGGTGCGTGCGGGTCTTTGCAGCTATGGGAAGTTCAATCCAAAAAGTATCGTTGGACTTCCCAATGAGCCGTCGCTCTTCGTTTCGCGTCAAAGGGGGCGGGTACATACGTGGTATCCCGTTTTTGGATAAGGTCTTGTCGGCGCTCGTTACACAATTCCAAGTCCGACATCGAGGGCCTCAACCGAGTAGCCCTTTCTTTGTGCTCGTCCTCGCCACGTGTACGATAGTGGAATCCCTTGGCCTGGTAATGCTCGAAGAGGCGGCAATCGCTGCACAGAGTATTAGGCCAATGAGGCTCCATTGTCGTCCACGGGACGACGGTCAGCTCGTTAAAGGGTAATAACAACGAATAGGGCGGAAAATGCGTATCGATGATAACAAAACCCGCACCAACAAATCCAGAACACCGAGTTTCGGGAGGAAAGAAATAACGCCCTTCGATCTTGGCGACGGCTTCTCGTACGTCCCACTCGCATACACGTACCATTTCCTCATTGTACGGGAAGGGACGTGGCGGGCACACGGGAAGTTGGCGCCCGGTCGGATTGGGGCCGTCAGTCCACATGGCAGCAAAGATAAGCTCAAAATAGATCTTAATCATACATCATTCGTCTGACACTCCAAGCGATCAGATTATTCAGTCGATCAGCCAATCGTCCTTACAATCATGCTATAACAAACTCTCTAACACGACTCATCGCATGCACATACTGAAGTGAGAGACGCAAGAGGACCATAATTCATCCACTACGATATAACGTGACCGGAGAGAGAGAGGGAGAGTATGAACGCAGACCAGGAGGGAGGAACGAGTGGAAAACAATCACAGAATGTCAGGCAATCTCGTCCAAGGAAGTTCCGGCTTAAAAGCCGAGCGATCGGAATTCACACTTGAAGATATAAATTTAGGGACAAAAAAAAAGAAGGAAGCACTTCTGCCATAAGATTCCACCGTAGCCCCTCGCCATACACTCACTCACTTCCGACTCGAACCTCGAACATCTCACTTGCACTGACGATACCAGCCGTCACGTGCCAAATCCACCACAACGATCGTCACCTCGCCGACTTAGCCTCGACACGGCCTTACTTGGATCCCACAGTCCGTTGGGCGATCCAACATACTGAGCGTGCAGGCTACAGCCAGCTCGTCGGGACTTTTCGACTCGCACCTTCCTCCATACCACCTAGCCACAACTTCCCGGAAGCAGGCTGATGAGTCGAGAGAGATTTTAGGGAGCGCTTGCGGAATTTATAGCTGCGGAAAATAAGATAGACGCTAGGAAGGGTTAGGACTAAGACAGGGAGGAGTAGGGAAAGGCTCAGGGATTGTCCGATGAAAGCCATGTTGATCCTTTGGATCCCAGCTGCAGCCAATCAGAATCGTCGTGTATCGGGAATTTCCTTCTTACCCGGCACGTCTCTTTGGCTAGGGGAAGTGAAAAAGGGGTCGACAAGGTATTTCGGCGTGGGGACCAGAGTGGGAAGAAGAAGAGCGTGAAGAATAGCGTGAAACGGAACCAAGATTCAAACGATCAAGAAGGAGAGAAAAAACGTGCAAGGTCGAAAGAGAGATGGAAAACGGTTACAGAAAGAGAAGGAGCATGGGCGCGAAGAGGAGAGTGGCGAAGGCAGCGTGGGAAGTGGGGAGGGGAGGCTTGCATGCATGGCGCCGGCGCGGAGGCAAAAAGAGCACCAAAACAGTTACAACCAATTCGAATTGACAAGTACCATATCCGTGTGGTAGAGCGAGCGAGGGAGAAAATCATATACCTATTCAGATTTCTACGAAAGTTCCTAGAGCTTTCCAAGACGAAGTTGAGAACATTCAGGCGCAAGAAAAGACACGTCAGATTCCGCTTATTCCGAAATTCCTAACCGTCGACCCTCGCTAAGGCGCACATAATTCCCATGTAATTCCTGATTTTGCAAAAGACAAATTTTCAAAAATTGATCCGAGGGTCCCACGTATTACATTCATGAAAATACAAAAAGAGGCCTCGTCGGATTGTCACCCAAAATTGGACAGAAAGAAAAAAAAAAGGGGGCGGGGGGGGGGTAGGGGAACAGAACATGACGCAGATCGGGGAACTAGCGCGTTACATATGTGACGTTCAGGGGGTTCCAAAACTATGCGATCTCCTGATTGCATGGAGGAGAGTTATGGTGCAGGAGATCGGAGATGGTGA